CGAAGATGCGTTTTTTGCATAGTTCCCCGCAGGTTTTTGTCGCTAACGGCACCGGTTTTTTCGGCAAATGCTATTAAGCTAATTGAGACTAGCCATCAGGGCTCTGAAAAAATTCCTTTAAAATTTCAGTTTTCTAGTTTTCCTGGTTCCCGAGTTAACAACTTACCTGCAAAAAACTTTCACTGGTCCGTACACAGGAACCATGCATACCCGGGGACTAGGCATGAACTCATTAAGACCTATGTGGACGTGGAACACCCCCTTAAAATTCCAGTGTTCTAGCTTTTCAGGTTCCGGAGTTAGCAACCTACCTGAAAAAAATTTTGTCGAGCCCGTATGTGGGTACCACGCATACCCGTGAAAGTCTTCGGGCCCGTACGTGGGTACCACGCATTTCCGAGAGCTAGGTTTGAACTCATTAATACCTACTTGGACGGGGAACATCCCCTTAAAATTCCAGTCTTCTAGTTTTCTGCACTGCATGGATGTAAAAAGCGCATAAAAACAGTGTATTATGCTTATTAATAGCTCAGAAATCCTAAACCGCACAGCCTCTCCGCAGGAGAAGACAGCTAACTTGGGGCGTCCCGTCATTTTGTTCAAATTTTGCATGAAGTCTTTACAAGTTCGAAAAAAGACAGTACAGCAAAGTGGAAAGGCAACAGCCAGCTTTTCAGATTCATGCATAAAGTTGACGAAAAGCAGCGGAAAAATCTGAGAACTTTTTCTAGACGTTTTACTTTGCCAAAAAAAGGAGACGTTTTATTTTTGCCAAATTTGTGCGATAATAGCAGAAAAAATCTGGCGCAAACAATTTTTCTTTTAAACTTATCTAAAATTTATGCAGAAACTGCTTACAAGCTTCAAAAGCACCAGCACGTTGAGAGCTTGACAGCACTAAGAGAGGCGTTTCAGGGAAATTTAAAAGACTTGTCTGCTACAACACAGACAGCTTTCCTTCCAAAATTTCACTTCAGATTGTCAGAGGAACTTGTACATGCAGAAATGCGGAATACATAACACTACAAGAATGACGCTTAGTCTTTGCTCCCAGTCTCGAAATTCATAGCTTCAGTAGACTTTTACTTCTTCTGCCTTCTCCCACGTCCTCCTGGAAAATCGGGAGCTTGCTGACAATTATGTGCAAGCCCGTTTTCCATCTGTTTAAAGGCAAATAGTCTAGGGAAGTAGTTTAAACGCACGCAGCAAATTCCAGCGGTAGTAGTAGAGTTAGACTCCACTTATGCAGTGAGTGCGAAAGTGAGACTGTGGAAATAGGCGTCACAGGGAGTCTCTCACCAGAAAGATACAAAGTGTGAAAATGGTTTGCTTGTTGTCAAAATTAGTATGGAGCTACCAGAATCGGAGACTGGAGTGGCATCACACAAGCCATAAGCGGCAAGTCATTTTGTAATAAAGGGCAAAAATATGAAGGAAAAAAGTGCGGAAACAAACTACGAAAGCCAAATTCGAGAATGATAAATCAGACTGCTGCACGTATTAATCTGGCCCTGGGCTGGAATCGGAAGAATATTATTTCTTCAGTAATAAGGATGGTGCCACCAGGTATGGAAAAAGCAGGAAGGTATGAGGCTACAAAAAAATCCTCACGGTCAACTAAATAATCCCTCCAAAATCCGTTCGAAACGATTCAGTGCGGGCACCTTGGTACAGCGAAGGACAGACCACTGTGATATTTCATTTGGCACCAACAAATGATAGCCACATTATTGAGCAGAAGTGGATCAGGAGGGGACGAAAGGACTGAGGGATATTTAAAAGCACAAAAAAAAATTTCAAGAGCCTTCAGAAAAATTTGTGCGTTAAAATCAAAAGCTGGTTTGAAGTCATAGACAACTAGATTTTGGTCACTGAAAGATCACCTGCCGAAACAGCTCAGCAAATACTTCATTTTCCCATATGATGTTGTAATGCACAACGTGCAAACCAAATGTTGCCAATTCGTTGGTCGAGTTTCACAAGGCTTATTTAATTACGAAAAAGAAACGGATTTCCGGGAGCGAAATCAAAATTTCTAGCGATGCCCTCTAAAATTTTCTGCTAGGCCAGGATTTCCGGAAGTTCGTTGTGGACATGAAACAGTAGGCATTTAAGAAAATCTGTTGCCGAGCAAAAGGCTCCAAAATTTTATTTTGGATATTTCTGAAAACCTTTTGTAGGCATCCTTTGAAAATTGTAGCAGTACCATCGAATACAAGATAATAAAAAATGCAGCTCAGCGAATTATCAAATCGGCGCAGAAGGTATTAAAAATAAATTACAGATTAGCGTTTCACGTCCGTTCGGGACAGTCCTTCTCTCTACCCGCTGCGAGCGAAATTAATTTCATCAGCAGTTCTCAGAAAAAAAGTCCTGTATCTCTCTGACAGGAATTTGTTCAACAAAACAAGGTTTGAACCATGGCGTAGCAAACCCATCATACCCAAAAACAATCCATCAGCCTGAAATAATGGTATTTGCTGGGGAGAGAGGGGCAGCTTTTTGGAAGCGATCATGCGGCAAGAATGAAAATGGACGAGCTGGATTCTAAAACGATACTAGTGCAAAGTAAGCCGAAAACTAAAATTGAAAAACGTCTGTTACTTCGGCCAACCACGTAAGCCATCCTGGATGGCACAAAACTTATGATATCGCTACCCAAGTAGGCCGCCGGCTGTGGCTCAGCATTCTGGCGTCAGGACAAACAGGTAAGCAAATTTAGTCCTGAGAATTTTGGGGATGGAACCATCTTTTCTCTAGTTTCGAATAATAACGCTTGACGGGAACTATCGGATACTTGCGAAGCTGTGATCTTTGATCCTCTCTTTAGCGTCTTTTCTCCCTGTTTTAATCGGGTATGTTGTCGACCCTTCGTCACATAGGAACAGTTTGACGAATTCTGGGATTCAGTAACGTATAAAAAACATAGGAAATGAGTGGATAAAGAAGGTGACCCTTTTCAGTTTTGAAGGAGACGTGCCAGCGGTTCGTGTAAGAGAGAAGTTAAAGAACGCGTGACTTCGTTTTTTAAAGGTGCAACATTTGGCTAAAGTGTTGCAGAGAAAAGCAATACAGAATTTAGTTTGTGGTCGGGAAATTTTACCAGTGAATGCAATTCTTGCGCAGTGAAAGCAGTCGCATAAGCGCTAAACTGTCTAACAAATTGGGTGTCTGTTTCCAACACGCTGAATCTAGTATTTATCGTGCTTGAATTATCCCGTGCACGACTGACATCTGACATACTGGACGTAGCTGCAGTTGTCCGCGCATTTTCTCTTCACGGTATTACCCACATTCCTAGATCTCATCCATTCTGTCGGTAACGTCAGAATGCTACATCCAAGAAAGTGGAGCGCAAGGGGCGGGAGAACGTTAAAATTCGGGGGCAGTTACTAAAATTTTGCTCGGCCGGACTGGGAGGCCAACTGCAATGACTGGAGGGTGGGGCAGGAAGGAAGGGGTTTGAGCGTCAAGGATAGTGGTTTGCGTCTCGAAGGTGGCAACGGAGGGAAGGGGACGAAGCCGCTGATCGGAAGGAACTGAGACCCCGCCTGGAGTCAGGAATTGGTAGCTGTGGAGGGTCTACAGATAAGGGAAGCAGTATGGATTTTTTAAGCCCAACATGAAAATTGATGATGAAGCGAAGTTAGCAATCTTGAGTGCGTCACTTAAAACTTCACTTAGACAAAAAGCCGCTAATGCGATTTTCGCAGCGCGAGCCCGAACTCAAAAATAAGTGCCTAATATGTGGCCGTACCAAGTTTTAGTGTTTGCCAAATTCGCACGAGCCACCCGTCATCGGAGTCCATTTACGCCACTGATACAATGCATTCGTTCCCAGCGGCGAGCTCAGTCCCAGAGCCTGCTGTCACGGTCCAAACAACCACTCCCGTTTGACATTTGTCAAGACCACGCAGACCATCAGTGCTGAAGCTCTCAACATTACGGAAAGGGGGATACGCATCGAGTATTGCTATGCAAGACACTCCAGTCATGAGCTGCCTGCCTCTAATTTACATCTGTGACGTCGACTACATAATGCGCAGCAGTTTCACAGGAGGTAGCCCAAATGGTCATCTTTTACTTCGCAGGTACCACACAGAACATTCTACGCGTATCGCTCCGTTCGCTGGGCGCGCACGTTATCATTACAACTTACAAAGAATAATACAAAAATAAACGCAGGCGGTGGCAATTCGACATGACTCTTTCCCGGAGCGGGAACGAAAAAAAAAATTCCGCGGAATAGAAAATGCTCGCGCTTTGTCAGCCTTAAAATGATGAGAAGCGTAAAACAGAGAGCGTGCAGTGAGATAGAGCGAGGCCAAATACAAGCACGGCAACGGCCTAAAACCCTCCTTAGTCCACGGAACAGAGTCCCTTATTTTCCGTTTTCCCTTCGCTCTCCAGTCGCCCTCCTATTTCCTCGGGATTTAGTCCACAGAAGCCAGAAATATACTGATGGCCACAGCAGCAGAATGGAGACAAGAATTCCAGCACAGCCAAAACAACAAGAACAGCGATGATGTCGACAACGACATTGAACCGAAATGAAGCGCTGTTCGATTTGCACCAAAATGGAACAGCAACATCGACTAGCATCAGCAGCAGTAGCACATTGCGAGAAAAGAGGTGAATCGATTCCTTCGAGGGTTTTTATTAGTTAAGTGTGAGGGGGCACCAGTATGTCTGTGTGTGTGTGTGTGTGTATGTGTGTCCACATGCTAGGCCCTCAAGCTGACTATGTAGTCTATACATGCATTTATGTGTGTGTATGTGTTAAGGCAAAATTCTGCTGCCGCTGCTGCTGAAGACTGGAGGAAATACTTCCAATGCCTCTGCTACTGCTTTCTGGATTTACTTTTTCCAGAAGCGAGCATTCATCCGCTGTGCTGCTCGTTGAACAGAACCGCTACACATATACACTTGCGTACACGCATACACTCATCCGTACACACAGCCTACATTCTCATGTAAATACGCGTACACATACAAACGCACGCACATACACATTATACGGCAGTAGGGCGGTCAGGGAACAAGACTGACCGTCGCCCTTCTATGGTCAAATCGCATTAAAGTCACTTACGTGAGGGATGTGGGGTGCAAAGATTGGTCGAGAAAAGCAATGAACTTGGCCAACAAGGCAAAAATTCTCCTAAAGGGGCAAAAAACAAACTGGCAAGTGCTAAATTGTAGAAAATGCGAAAAACTGAACTCAGAACTGCTAAATTTGGCGTTAACACGCCATTTCGGTACCTGCATTGATTATTTGTTGTTTGATGAATGCATTTCTTCTCACCACTGGTACATACAGCAAAATTTCCATCTCTTTCATTTTCATGCGTTTTTGCACACATGCAAACTGCAACCGAGGCTGGAACGCACCAGGCTCTCCGGTTCGATCATGCGTTTTTGCAATAAACTCGCAGATCGCTATTAGCAGGAATGATCCCTACGCTGTAGCCTAACACTTGGGTCACATTGGCGTTGCAGGAGGAAGGGCGTCAGTTGGGATAAAGGTGTGCATTATTGAGCCACACGGACATCCAAGTGCATGATTACCGATTTTTTGCATGAAGTCCGGTCGTTTTTTCGGAAAATGCTCGCACTGTGAAAAAATAACAAATGCAAATTTTTTGAAAAAATGCAAATTTCCGGTTCAATAAAAAGTGGAAGTATTGTTCGAGCGGTCGTTTGTCAAAAAATCCACGCTCATTTACATGTACAATCGCGGTTAAGTTCCGAGTTGGTAACGATTTTTGGGTTGAGGAGCTGCTTGAGGCTGTAGTAGAGGAACTAGAGGGCTGAGTTTAAAATTTTTATCTCGCACGTGCATAGAGAATGTCCCTGCAAAGTTTCAGCTTTCTACGTTGCCTGGTTCGCAAAATCGTTTCCCGCCAACACATTTCTTTTGGAGTCCCGTACGCGGGGTCTACGCGCATATGGGGAAAGATCTTAAAACGGGAGGATGACACACGGGGTAGGAACGTATATCCAAAGTTTCAGCCTCCCAGCTTTCCTGCTTACTGAGATGAAAGTGGGTGACAAAATGTACTCGCTTCCTGAACACACACACACACATGCAGGCAGCCTCTCGAAATCATGTGCTTCTGCTGGCTGTAGCAGCGCAGACACACGCGCACAAACACACACATACTGCCTCTTCCAAATATGTGATTTTATGCGTTTTTGCTGTGCAGCGTTATAGCGCTATAGTGCTGCGCAGCAAAAACGCATAAAAATACATATTGGGAAGAGGCAGTATGTCTGTGTGTTTGTGCGCGTGTGTTTGTGCGTGTTTGTCTGTGTCTGTGTGTTCGCACTTTTTGTCACCCACCTTCAACTTGAGAATCAGATAAGTTAGGAGGCGGAAGCTTTGGGAGTATGTGCCCATACCATGCACGGCCCTCCTGTTTTAATATCATCCCCCGCGGACGTATGTGTGCCGCTTACGGACGCTTTAAAAAAATATGCAAATTTTTTGGCGGGAAAGCGATCTCGGGAACCAGACAGGGATATTCTCTGTGCATGCACTAGCTAAAGATTTCAAATTCAGCCCCCAGTTTTACGTGGTACTCGCGTATGGGCGCATGAAAGTTTTAGCGGAAAAATTGGTAATTCGAGAACCAGGAAAACTAGAAAGCTGATATTTTAGGGGAATTTCTCCTGTCCAAGTGCAACTTAAATATTTCAAATTCAGCCCTCAGGTGTGGGTGGTTCTTACGTACGAGCACGCGAAACCTTTGGCGGGAGAATCGCCAACTCGGCAACCAGAAAGGCTGGAAGGCTGAAATTTTAGGGGAATATTTTAGGGGGATATTTTTTCTGCCCACGTGTAATTTATAAATTTCAAATTCAGCTTCCCAGGCACGTAATGTACCCACGTACGGAAATGTGAGAGTTTTGGCGGGAAAACTGCTAACTCGGTAATTAGAAAAGCTGGAAGGCTGAAATTTTGGGGGAATGTTCGCTATCTATGTACAATTTAAGTATTTCAAATTCAGCTTAAGGTGTGTATGGTTCTTACGTATAGGCAATTAAAAGTTTTGGCGGAAAAATTTCTCACTGAACATCTAGGTTACTTCTACAGAACGACCGTTAAATGAAAAATGCTCATTTACTGCAGAGACTGAGGGCAGAGGAGGGGCTGGGATTGGGGACTACTGCTCAGCTCGCTCGCGCAATGTGCATTCGTTTGTGGGTTTAGTGGCTAGATTTAGATTTGGGAGATAGTGGGTGGTTAAAATGAGGGGCATGGTGTTGATTTGAGCTGCGAAGACTTGGGATGGAGTAGAGGCTGGGATGTAGTTGGTTGGACAGTGCAGTTATGGGAACTAAACAGAACTGAGCGTTGGTTTAGAGCCAGGAACTGGAGATAAGCTAGAGAAGAGGGATGAGGACAGATGTCTGGTGCTCGGATGCAGGAGTTGGGAGAATCACTAAAGAGGGGAGGGCAACACAGCACTATGAAGAAAAGTAAATTAAGGTAAATCTATGCCTATGAATAAAAGCAAATAAAAAGCAAAAGCAAAAAAAAAAGTAATTGGCCAACGCACTGGCTGTCCGTGCGATGATGCGGTTTTTGCATAGTTCCCCGCAGTTTTTGTCGCTACCCGCATCGGTTTCTTCGGCAGATCCTTCTAGCTAAACAAATTAAAACTAGCCGCCAAAACTGGCAGGAAACACCCCCTTAAAATTTCAGCTTTCTAGCTTTCCTGGCTCCTCAGTTAACAATTTACTGGAAAAAATATTTCACGAGCCCGCACTTAGGTACCACGCATACCCGGTGTCTGGGTTTGAGCTCGTTGAAATTTACTTGGACGGGGAACATATTCCTAAAACTACAGACTTTTAGCTTTGTGGGTTCTCGAGTTATGTGTTTACCCGAGAAAAACTTTGGTGAACCCGTGCGTAGGTACCACGCATGACCGAGGGCTGGGTTTGATCTCGTTGAGACTAATATGGACGAGAAACACTCTCTTAATGTTACAGCCTTCTAGCATCTCAGATCCCCGAGTTATGAAATTGCCCGGGAAAAATTTTGGCGAGCCCGTACGCAGGTACCACGCTTACCCACGAGTTGAGTTTGAGCTCACTAGTATCTGCTTGGACGGGGAACATTCCCTTAAAATTTCAGCTTTCTAGCATCACAGAACTTCGAGTCATGAATTTACGTGGGAAAAATTTTGGCGGGTCCGTATGGGGGTACCACGCTTACCCAGGGGTTGAGTTTGAGCTCATTAGTACCTGCTTGGACGGGGAACATTCTCTTAAAATCTCAGCTTTCTAGCATCTCAGATCTCCGAGTTATGAATTTACGCGGGAAAAATTTTGGCGGGCCCGTACGCGGGTACCACACTTACCCGGGAGTTAGGTTTGAGCTTATTAGCACCTACTAGGACGGGGAACATTCCCTTAAAATTTCTGCTTTTGTAGCATCTCATATCCCCGAGTTATGAAATTACGCGGGAGGATTTTGGCGGGCTTGTTCGCGGGTAACACGATTACCTGGGGGTTGGATTTGGGCTCATTAGTATGTACTTTGACGGGGAACATTAAAATTTCAGCTCTCTAGCTTTTCTGGTTCGCGAGTTAGCAGCTTACCCGTAAGAAACTTTGGCGGGCTCTTACGTGGGTACCACGCGGGAAAGACCGCCCATTTTGGGGATGAGGGCCCATACGTGTATTTAGATTAAGTCCCCAAAGTTTCAGTCCCGTAGCTTTTGTGGGTCTCGAGATGAAAAATCGGTACAGACGCGCAGCGCACACACAGACATATACACTAACACACACACAGACGCACACACAGACAACCTCTCGTCAATATGCATTTTTTCGCATTGCATAGCTGCAAAAAACGCATAAGAAACTAACCTTATGCGAATGGAAATATTCGTGCAAAGCCCTATCGTCAGTAGGGGTAATGGTCAAGTGCCACTCCAGAACCACGGCACCAACTCTGAAGCAAGTCTGGGCCCCGCATACGACAAAAGGTGAAAGTTTTGGTGGGAAAATTGCTAAATCGGAGACGAGAAAAGCCGAGAAGCTCAAATTTTGAGGTTATGTTCCCCGTCCACTTAGAACTTAAACTTTTAAAATTCAGCACCCACGTATGCGGGGTTCCCGCTTACGGCCCCATGAGGTTTCCTGGCGAAAAAATCGCTAACTTGGGAGCCAGGAAAACTTGGAGGCTGAAATTTTAAAGGTATGTTCTTCGCTCATGTGGAACGTGGAATGATCAAATCCAGCTCCCAGGCATGCGCGGCACTCGTATACGGCCCGTGAAATTTTATGGCAGGAAAATGGCTAACTGGGAACCAAAAAAGCCGGGAGGCTGAAATTTTAAAGGGATGTTTCCGGCTCACGTACAACTTAAAGATTTCAAACCCAGACCCCAGGTTACATGCAGCCCTGTGAAAGTTTTGACGGGAAAATTGCCAACTCGGGAACAAAAAAACCTGGAAACCTGAGATTTTAGGAGAATATGCCCCGTCCAAGTACAACTTAAAGGTTTCAAATTCAGTCTCCAGGTAAGCATGGTTCTCGTTTACGAGCAATTAAATTCTTGACAGGAAAATTACTCATTGGACAGCAGGGTC